CACTCTAGATGAGAATACCTTTTGGGAGTCAAACCAAGTGAAATTCATTGGCCTCGTTTAATCTATTCATATAATTGGTAGGAAATTCAAACATTATTCCTGCATTATCTTATGCGAACTAAAGTGAATCAACACCTAAAAATTAAAATAGAAGACTAAACTAACTAAATTATTCCCACAAGATAAATGGAGGTTGGGATGGAAGAGAAATTTAACTAGGTCTACCCTTTAGTAGAATTACCAGCTGCCTCGGGAGTGTACATAGCCTGAGATGACAGTGAAGATGCGAGTCCTGGCAAATATGATTGCTTCAATTGTGGCTTATTCTGTTGTTGTTGCTTCCGGCCACTTGCATCAACAAACTTACGCCCGACGGTTAGTTCAGGTATAAGACAGCCAAGAACGACGACCTGCCAAAGGGCTCGCGCACTCATCAGCAACCCATGATCACAGGATGGCTCATCCGATGGTCGATCACGAATAGTCTGAAGACGACTGAAGTTTAGGCAGTCAAAGAGCAAACAAGTAAATCCAAAGTTACAAATTTATCTATAGTTAAGTTGATGGAATAAACGTTAAATTCATAACACCTCTTCACAATCACCATTTCCTATTTGTTTATTTAGGTTAAGTTCAGATGTGCTCTTTTGAATGGATTTAGTGAAACCTATTCACACACCCCGCTTGTTCTCTCATCCTCGGCCCACTATGATAAGTGTTGATCCAAATCTGCCCTCTTAATCCGCGATCTCGGCGATCTTCTCCATCCAAGTTCTATCAGTCTCCATCTTGCCCCGTAGGATCCTCACTTACCGCCTTGATTCAGTGATTTCACTCGATCACTCCAGCCTCACTGAGCAAGTCCCAAAAGTCTGGATTCTTAAACTGGATACAAAACTAAATTGATGATGCAGATTTACTTATAGTGACAACTTTTTATGCCCTAGTCTCCAACCAACCCCTCAAATATTGTGGTTCTACATGATATGGTTAGGCTCTCTGAAGACGTCTACTCTTAATTTTCGATTCACCCTTACGATTTATTTTCCTCAGGTTCAAAATATTTCCTTGATCTAGTCGTATTCTGTTTGCTGATCTTTCCCTGATTTCCCCCGAGTTTGCTTAAGCAATATGCTACGTTTTCGCTAATCCTACCTTTTTCAAGTCTTGTGTTAATCAGATTTACTTCAGCTAAGATATCGATGCCCTCTCGGATCTTGCGTTTTATTTTATTCTCGCAATATGCAGCAAGCGTTTCTGTCGATTTTCAATCTAGTTTTCTCCCATCCGTGCAATGTGATCCGCTATTTTGGAGTTGCCCATATCAATCTTTCTTCAGAGCTTTTGATGTGCCATGTAGGCTGATTTTTCCTCCTGTTTAAACAATATACTTCTGCTCATAGTTGCTGCATCTGATGCGACAAACCCCGAGCAATCCAACTCGCGTTGAGTCGGAAGGCTAGTGAAGAATGTTGGCTTTTCCTTCATTACCGCCTTAATATCCCATTTTCTTAGCAACGGTCGCAATTTTGACTCACTTCACAGGAAGGTAGGTATATCCACTTTTGGTCATCCTCACAATTTCCTATTTTATTTTCATAAGTTGATATCTGTATGACTCCTATACTTCTGAGGGAGACTTCCATTTCGTATGAAAGTACATGAAAAAGATATTTGAAGGTCGATCTCACCTGAAGACGATGGATGATTCCCTTTGTAGTGCAGCCGTTTGGCTGTAATACGTTCACAGGTTTGATTAGTCCACGAAACATCCTTCCTCGTTTCGAGTGAAAACGAGCTGAGCTTTCGTCCATCACCAGAGCTGGGACTCATTCTTGTAAAAGTCTCACGTTAACGCTAGGTCAAAAAGACAATCCGGCTCTAGCTTACATCTTATTTATAATCATAACTAAAAAACGAAACTTTATGGGCATAGATAGACTTAGTGTTAACGTAAGACCATATGGTGAAGCTCGTTTTTACGCGAAACGAGGAAGGATGTCTCGTGGACTACGCCAACTAAAACTTCGTGTTAAAGCTAAACTGCTACAGTAAAACGGGAATCAGCTGTCGCCTTTAGAACCTTCGAATCTCCTCTTCATGCATTTTAATACAAAATTAAAGTCCCCCCAACAATGTTATCTCAAGGGATTCATCGAAACCCAGTTACTCTTCATATCTCCTATATTTCTCTTAATGGATTTTCTAGGTTACCCAATATCCTCGTTCCGGAAATCCATGCTCGTTAGTCTCAAGCTTCCGATGATTAAGCTCCTCAATATTTCGATCTTCAGTCTGTAGTCGTGATAAAACTGAAAATTAAGGATTATTCCCGAATGTGATTTCTTTCTGATTAGTTTCCTTTTGAGTGTCAAGTCGAAGCGAATGATCACAATATCTAGAAAAGCTAGTCACTCATCCTCCTCCAGCATTATGAATTTATTTAATCAAGTTAGCACATAAAGTTGGGGAATTCATCCAATTTTTCCTTATCTTGCTTGCAGCAATGACTTCCCGCATTATTTTTCCAATGTGTCCATGTATGCATTAGCCAAGAGGTGATAGTGGCGATCCCATATGCAGTCCAAATATTTGCTCATAGATATTGGCATGGAATGTAAATCATGTGATCCTTACTGCCCGGTTGACCAGTCGTGTAAACAACTCCTTCAATATCCGCTCTGATTCCAGGATATTCTCCTTTCGCCCCAAGATGTCCAGAAGGGTGGTGACTGCCTTATCGCCTAAGATGTTTATGTACACGGATTGTACTTCAAAATTTACCAAAAGTTACGTACCTGTCGGTTCAATGTTTCGGATCCTTTGAGAAAATTCATATGAATTCTCCATGGTGATCGAGAGTCTGTCCTTTACTCTATCTAGCTTCAAGCATATGAATTTCGCTGAAATAAATTCTATTTACTAACACAATAATTTTTGATTAAAAATGAAAAGCTAAAGCCTGAAATCTAAAAGCCTTTTATAGCTAAACCAGAAAAAGATTCCCTAAATTAGCATAAGATTAGTTTTGGGCTT